AACTGGGCCATCATAAGAAAAGGACGGGAAAGAGGAGAACGGGAAGATGCCTGAGAAGTAAGAAAGGAGGCAGGGAAGGTAGTGGTGAGGAAAGAGGGGGCAGGGAAGCTTTAAATACTCTCCTACATCAAAGTACTTCATCTTGTTATATAAAATCCATTAAAACCAAAAGGTTAGGGCAATTCTTGAATATATAGGTGAGGTATTGTGAAAACATAAGAAAGAAATTAAAAAAGTAATCTCTGGCTTTAAAGTAGAAAAAATACCCAGACGGAACAACTGTGTGTGAACTCCCAATTGTGTGTGAGCTCCCACACATGCGTGTCTGCTAGCAGCACATACCAAAGTAATTAGAATATTTAAAAGTACATAAGGCTATTTGTAGTACCATCCAAGAGCAGGTAGGTTGCCCGTGAGAAAAAAACAGCCGATCAATTCAGAAAATGCACTAGCAAGTACATATTTGTGTTAATTCAATTCCTGTACACCTGATACCAGAAAAAAAAAAATCAAAGGTCCAAACTGTTACTGGGAGTTATCAATTATTTTGCTAAAATTAGCATCCAAAAAATAAAGTGTATAAACTTCAAATTCTGAAGTAATCAAATATGGGCTAACACTAGACTAAATAGAATCTCCATGAATAAGTTCTAGATTATTTTAAAGGAATACAATTTTTCACTTTTTTTTTTTTTAAGATTTTTATTTATTTGAGAGAGAGATAGCACAAGCAGGGGTGAGGAGGGGCAGAGGGAAAGGGAGAAGCAGACTCCCCACTGAGCAAGGAGCCCAACCCAGGCCTCAAACCCAGGACCCTGAGATCAGGGCTGAGCCGAAGGCTGATCCTTAACCACCTGAGCCACCCAGTCGCCCTTTCATGGTTTGTTTTTAAGCATATCCTGGAAGGAAAAGTTTTTTCAAGTTCAACATACTTTAGAAACCCAGAAACTTTGTGGGATGTTAGTTGTCACAACTCTTTAAGAGAAAGCCAAAGTTTTCTTTCCTACTTATTATATTCCTAAGGATCTGAGTAACAAAAGATGTGTCACCATAAAGAAAAAGACAATATTGGGGTGCCTGGCTCAGTTGTTGGGCGTCTGCCTTCGGCTGAGGTCATGATCCCAGGGTCCTGGGCTCGAGCCCCACATCGGGCTCCCTGATCAGCATGGGAGCCTGCCTCTCCTTCTCCCACTCCCCCTGCTTGTGCGCCCACACACACACTCTCTCTCCTCTGTCAAATAAATAAAGTCTTGAAAGAAAGAAAGAAAGAAAGAAAGAAAGAAAGAAAGAGAGAGAGAGAAAGAAAGAAAGAGAGAGAGAGAAAGAAAGAAAGAAAGAAAGAGAGAAAGAAAGAAAGAAAGAAAGAAAGAAAGAAAGAG